ATCGGTATTATTTAAATAATGAAAAATGAGAAATTGTATAAATGCGAAAATCTGATGAAAGCAGACATCCTTTATGAGTCGAATCTGTTATAAACTTTTATTTCGGCGCTGGATTACTAAACGATGAATTAATAATATATTAATATCATCTACATACCAATCTCACATTGTTCTACAGTCTTAACAGTTTAAATAAGGTATACTCGCAATTCAGTAATTAACATATCATAAAATTGCCACAAATATCAAAGAAAATTTCGAAAAATTTCGATTGCACCCAATACTCATTTTTTGTAGTGATATAACCGAGGTAGACTTACACTTACTCAACAAGTGAGTAAAAACAGATGCTACAGTGTCAACTTCTGCATTAGTACATACGGCCGAATTTGTTCAATTTGAATTATTTCCTTTCTGCAGATGATAGATGATATATCTATCATTTATCACTCTAGCATAATAGAAAATAGGTGGTGCAATATGGCTAGTATTTCAGGTCTGGTCGTAGCATGATGAGCCAGGAACGCTAGCGCACATTTAGAAAAATGAATATTTATGAAGTTAGTGAGCGAGAGAAGGTTCTTGTCGAATTCTGTTGCCACCTCCGTACCAGACACAATTTAGTTATTCAATTTATTAAAATCTTCTAATTGATGAGAAATGTAGCAGCTAACAAATTGGCCGTTTAAAACTAATGAAACCAAAATTTAATTTAAATGCTTGTGTCAATCAGTTAAATAAAATTTCAATAAAAAGAGACAAGATTTTGATTGACTGTTTGTGTCATAATCCCTAAATTGCAGCGAAATGTTATGACTTAAACCAGTTTCTGAAAAATATTGCAAGGAGACAGGAAATGGCAGATTAAAAATCTTATTTAAAATATTTTCTTGCGTTTCTTGTGTGATGAAGGATCGAATAAGAATTATGAAATCTATATTATTAGGGATTGCAAATTACCTTGTTTATGAAAAAGTCCAACTTCCCATCTTAAATGGGTCACTGTTTGCACCCAGAGCTATAGTTGTCCTATATCAAAATCAAAATACAGTAATAAGATAATAAGAAGATAATTATTAGCTAATAAAAAGATGATAATAATATAATAATACGATGATAATAATTAATCCTGAAAAGAACTGATCATTGATTTGCTAAATTTGATTGAGTAATTTTTGGAGCATCAAGCGGACTCAAATTATTCACTTAATCCGCACCGAATACTATAATTGATGTAGAACAAAAACAATAACTTTCTGATTTTCCAATAATATATGAACTTTGGCTTAGAATAATCGCAATTTCAGAGTTAAGAACTATGGGAAAATTTTTATTTAAAAAACACCTTTTATACTGATTAATATTATGTATTATTTAAGAAATACATTTTATATTGCATCTTTGTTAATTAAATCGAATTATCTGCACGATGATAACGTACAAATCTTTAGAGCTCACAATAGTAGCTGAAGGTCATTGCATAACAACAATCATTTAAATACATTTCTATAAATTACTATGAATTAATTAATAATAAAATTAACAATAAATTAATCAATAAATTTGGGCGTTAGCTGCCCATATTACAATATATTGAGGCAGAGACAGATACTTTGATTATAAAATGATTTAACAAACCGCAGTTGTATTAAGGGACATTCTTTCTATTAACATACATGTATTCAGTTAACTGGCGTCTGTATAAAGGTAACGAATATCCGCCTCATCACCAGACAAACATAACCTCACCACCAGTGTTGCACTGCGTATATGCCCGGGGAACTGCCCACCTACCCATACGTACTGTGGTTTTAATTAATTAAAAAAACCCGAGGTCTCAAAAAAAAGAAGAAATAAGTGGATTTTAAGGAAAACTTGAAAATCCTAAAATTTATTCCACGAATTTATATTCATGGAATTTTTATTCCATATTCACATATAACAAAATATTATTATTTATATTATTACTCCATAGACAGTTATTAAATATTCCATCATGAATTCAACTTCAGAGGTGGTTATTTCGTGAGGTAAAGCGGTTATTTGTACTAGACGCCACAAAAATATTCGTTTTGGCAAAGATCCTTTCGATAAGAAATACTCGAAGGAAGTGACTAACACGATGATGAAATAAATACGAGTATGACTTTCAGGTACTTCAGATGGCTTTTCTACTACCATTAATATACATGGACGAAATAAGTACTCTGTTTGACATTCAGGTATTTCAGGTGGTTTTACTCGTGAAATGAAAATTGCGAGATGAATTTCTGGTCCCACGAGAATGTACGTAACATATGTAGAAGTATATTAAGAGAAACGATTTCACTTAATTAATGAACACTAGAGTGCGGAACTGGTAATATTTGAAGTAACTTTGAAAAAAAATATTCCGTTAAGAATATGTTACTGAAATTACTGTCTATTATGATGAAGATATTTGTAATGCTAGTATCCCAGCTATGTGTTGGTGCGTAAAAAATGAATGCTGAAAATATAAATCAATAATAACGAATTACCGGCCCCAGCTGAGAATCATGTGAGATGAAATGAAAGAAAAGTCATCGTTATAAATAAAAAGTGCTTCATTATTTGCCGTATGATTTGGTTAATAAAATTGTTGAAGTCGTCGATGGAAATTTTGTCAGAACAATAAAAAATACAATTTATCATGAGAAACCATGCATTTTGCTGAGAAAAATGTATTCAGGTTATTGAATCTGCATATGAAATAATATAGGGACGGAATATTTCGTAATGAATGAAGATAATTTTTTTGACAAAAAATGTTTGTACAGCTCAGAAATTTAGTTACCATGAACCTTTATACATAAATTTTTTTTGTAAGTGTACATTGAAAAAAACATCATCGCGTACAAGGTAATGCATCTTTTACCTATTTTTATAGCATTTTAAAACATTTTCTAATCTTCGAAATTCATCATCAGAGATTCCCGTTCGAATACACTTTATTTGTTTGACTGAATTTATCAGCAACTCTTCAATCGAAAATATTTTATGATAGCCGAAAGATAGATTCCAGTGAATAAACGAAAATCACCGTAGTTGGGTGCCTGTTATTTAATTAACTTACTGTTCATAAAGAAGATATTACATATCCACATATTATTTATGCGTTACCACATGCAGATCACAATAATTCATTTCGTGGCTGATGTAAACATCATCACCAGGTAAATTGGAAACGATGATACTTCTTGAAAATGCTCAATATCTGATTTATACTTCTTGAATTGTTATTGATTGTTCCACAATTTTTTTAAGGGGTTTCTGGTGCTGTCGCCATTTACAAAGCCAAGCAAACAAGAAGAAGCGCCAGTAGGGCAGCAGCGGTCGACAGGTCTGTGTGAATGTAATTGACTATAGTAAGGTAATCCCATGAATGTTAATTTATATGTTATTTTTACTTTAACCTACATCCACCCCATGCACTGAAGTAATTTGAAGTACAACCACCAAAATTTAGCAGATGGATTTTAAATATTTCGTCTTAATTTAGTGAGAATTCAAATTCCTTTTATATAATAGTTGAATTAGTTCTCCATCGTGAGATGAGTTAGGTACAAAGCATTTCAAAGTTGCCGTAAGCTGAAAGGGTGACACAATTACGATTATATCCCTTCTCTTCTTAGTTTCTGCTAAACTATTTACATTGTCGTAAAATTATGTGTAAAAGTATAACTCATGCATACAAGATAACTTAGTACCGTGCGTCAACTTGGAGTTTCATTGCCCATAGTTTTATGTCATATTGGTAGTCAGCATTGGTGAGTTTAAATTTGTGTGAACTTTCAATCTTGATGCGTTTTGATTTCTTGGTATTAGTTTGGAAGAATTTCTTCGCCCGACCTTTAATTTAACAATTATTTGAGTTATTGTGAGCGGCAATATAGGTAAAGAATCCAATGTAGACTTAAAACATCCATGTTTGTAATACCACACCTAGTGAAATAACATTCCTCAGGCGGGCAAAAATACCCTGATAGCATTGATTATGACTAGCATTTAAATTGATTAAACGAGTGCTGATGGAAATCGTTATCCAGACCATCAATAATTTTTATCGTTGGATTCATTAGTATTAGTACTAGGGCCGATGTAGAAGCCAGCCATTCCATATCATCCATTTACGCCATCTCCACCTTTCTCTTACTACCGAACTTGTCGAAGAAGCACAAACACAGGCCCTAATAGTAGTTAGGTCAAAATGGTACCTATAGTGATGGACTCTCCTCGACTGGTGGCTTCTCTGCCTCTAATGGCCTCCTCTAGTGCCGCCTTACCTCGCTTGGAGACACCTCCAGTGCCTCCTATGGCCTCATGAAGAGCCGCCTTCTGTTCCACTGACAAGCTCTCCCTTATAACAGGGCTCATGGCCATCGCTGTCGTGGCAGAGAGACAGCGCAGTTGCAATGGACTCATCGCCTTCAGAGGAACAGTCAAAAATTTATGGCATAGATACTGAAGTGAGGTGTAACACAAAGCTATGGAAAAACTTTTGGAACTTTCAAGCTGTATAACACGTAACATTCACCTCGTGTAATGAAAAATTCCAACAAAAAGCCGTAACTTTGTTTGTTCGCTTATGAGCATTATACCAATTCGTACTTGAATGGCGTCTCTGGTCATTGCGCGCATTGCAGCAGCTGTAAGTCCGATCAGGGCGGATGGTTCGATAGATGGGATTATGGCCGCTTTAATCCCTGCAAACACCACGCCCATCTCCCGCACCTGAAATACGTCGTTGTGATTNCCACATATTATTAGGTACTGGACCCCACTCTGAAAACGGATGGAAATCCTCTCAATCATTGAACATAAATAACTTCTCGTGATCTCTTGCAACCATTAATTATTATTTGACTAATCATTGCAGGCACTTTTTGAAAAGTAATGATCATTTGTCACGACTTTCCGTCATTTATTATGAATGCTCTGATCTGTATATTAAACCGTTCATCTGCATTGAACATACTTATTTAAACGTACAAGGTTTTTTTCGGAGTTAAATTAGGGAAATTTTTCACCTCGTCGATTAAGAACCTCTTCTTCTCATCGCCCAAAACAGTGACAGCTTCAGTGAAGTCATCCAGAGGGCAAAAAGATGGTAGTTCATGGAATTCGTTGGTCTGGAAGCCTTCCATGATGAAGTTCAATTTGCTCATGAGCGAGTTGGTGAGTTTTAACCCCTTATCCACTTTATTCATCAGGATCTGTATGAATCGGGGACGATATGTAAAAATTTGTGGCTCAAACGTGAAAATATTGGCGAATACAATACCATTTTAGTCTTTGAACGAACTCGAATAAATAGTTGTACAAATTTCAATAACACATTGTGACTATTCCATTGCGCATCTTCTATGGCATTGTGACTCGACTAATTTGTTTTGTAAACAAAATTCATGGCTCCAAATGCCACCCACACCATAATTTTTTATGAAAATTATCTCTTTGTGTCCGCAAGGTTATCACAACAACCATCGTTTTTAATTTTTCAGTCTCCGTATCATAAAATTCAAATTTATTATGTACAATCAGTCTCTTGAGATATATCACCCACTTCTTGGAAATATTTGAGTCGAAGTGCGTCGAAATATGAAAAAATATATAGGTAGTGCCTATTGGTCTTATTAAAGAATCACTGGAATTTCGATACAATTATGTTCATTGACTCAAGCATCGGCATTTTTCTTCTGTGTCATTGTTATGTCATGACCGTATTATTCTAATACGACAGTTATATACTAAATTGTCACCTTTGCTTTACTCTTGTCCATTTTTCGATCCCCCAGGGGATTCAGGCACTGCATGATGTCGCTTGTGGACGCGGCGCTCAGTTCCTCGACGCTGATGTCGTCCACCCCGTTAACTGAAGCGCGATTACACAGCGCGACATCCCTCAAAGCTGCACGAATATTTGACTGAGCCAGTAAACCATGATCACTCGTATGCTGCCTAGTGATAAACATACTTAAAAGACCAATAATGTAAAAGAGACCTACTTTAAAAACTGATGTTTTCGCTTTACAAGAATGGTAATTTAGAAGTTGAGTTTTCAATAAATGACCAATAATGCAGACTAGTTGGTGGCCATGCGAGCCGATGATAATAGGAGCGCCTGATCAGGACAATAAATCAAAAGCTGATACGGTGATGCGTTGATTTATTTCATCCATCCGTCAGTCACTCATCGGGCGTTGAATTTTCGAATATATGATTTTTGGCTGTAACCAGAGAATTTATTAACAACCATTTATTAACAATATTTTAATTAGAATTTTAGAGTAAAATCTGGATATAAATATCATTCTAATTTGTATGTGTATATTTCTGGTTAGATTGTCTTGCAATTAATGAGACCAAGAAAACTAAATAAAAGAATCTTTATCGGCATATTAGTACTAGGATTCATGACATGTGTAAATCACTTCGAAAGCAGTTGAAAAATCGGGCGTTGGGACTTTTTCAACTGCTTTTGAGATGATTTATAGATATCATGAATCCTAGAACTAATATGCCGATAATGATTCTTTTATTTGATTTTCTTGGTCTCATTAATTGTAAGACAATCTGACCGGAAAAATACACATACCAATTAGAATGATATTTATATCTGGAATTTAAATTAATGTATAGTTAATAAATTCTATGGTTACAGCCATGATCTTACCATTGAAAGTGACTTCATTTTATTTATTCGTCAGAACATATACATACTAGGCAGCTCGTTTAGTGAATTTTGTTTACGCTGAACCAGCATGAAACCTAACATCAAGAGGCAGGTGGCGAATGTCAAAGACTTGAATATATACTCAAGCTCGGACATGGCTTGCGTCTGGTCATGGAGATGACCTGAGCCCAAGCTATATCCACCTCACCCCTCTTCCTCCTCCCGCTGGGGTTGTAGCCGGGGATGGTGTAAGGGTCGAGGATGTCCAGCGCCGCCCAGGCCTGCACGCGCCGCACGTTGTCGCGCTGCCAGAGCTCGGCGTCGTAGTCATCGCCGAGGTCGCTGCGACACTCCATCTGAGGGAAAGGGAACAAACATTTGGTGATGTTTCACGGAGTTAAGCAGCTGAACACACCTTGAAATGACGTAACATCACCTGGTTGTGTATGCTGATACGGGTCGCCTGCCGAAGACCACCACTGCCCTGTATGTAATGGACCATCATGATTCCTGCCTTCTAGAACGTAGCCTTCAACACTTCAAGCCGTCCGTATCGAGGCCGTGGGTCGAATCAGCCCTCGTTCGAACAGCCACTCGTCGTAGGACGATAAATTTTGGAACAGAACTTTGCTATCTGAAACCTAACCTTAGATGCGGTGAACGTAAAATTACGTAATTTAACGATGCCCGGAAGTCATATTCGATCCGCGGCCTGGTGGTGCACGGCAGGTTTTATGCCAGGCCGGAGGTGGACAGAGCCGAGTGGTTCCGGCTGATTGATGGATGCCCGGAGAGATCCAAGGCGTTCGATTCAGGGCTTGGTGCATAAAATTGGTGGTGCACGGCTGCGCTCCCTGCTGATACACCACACTTCCAGTAATAAGGCGACATGGCGGAACCAAACAAAACCTTGGGCAGGAGACGAAAGTGGGGCAATTATTCGAAGAAACTGCTGCGTCTTCTTTGGCATACAAAAAAAAATAATTTTTGAGTTTCCGTAGCTCGCAGTTGCTGAATTCTGCAGAATTGTCCCGGCAGATATTTCGAGTCAAATAGAGTAAGAGCGGTTCTATGACTAGGAATTAAGAACCATTTCAGGTGAAACTAAATTATTCACATAATGTAAGTGTGAGAAAAAACATAGAATTTTTAGAATTGAAGCATCATGAGTACATAATATGCCTGAGTGAATTATTGAACACGATGGAATTTGATTATTGACCTGCCGGGCCTCGTCCTCAGAGGCGTACTGGGCGCGGTCGGCGATGTGGCACTGACAGGACATGAGGGCCCCGCGGGGGATGCGGCTCAGCGTCCCCGACGGCAGCGTGTACAGCAGGCAACACAGCCCCGACATTTGCCGCCATGTCGTTGGGTCATCGCTGTGGGGTCATCAAAAGAAGTTTATAAAAAACAATTTAGGAAATAATTGTAGCAGTGTTGAAAGTTATTATTAGTGCACAGAGCGTAGATGTGTGAGATTTGATCGATTTACCCTAGTTATCTCATCGCTTTGTCAATAATTTAGATAATTATTACTGGTATAAATTAAAAAATATATATTTTACTTGCACAAGCAATGCCTAATATAATTTTCAGTCATCATAACATAGATTAATGTAAAATTAACACTCGCCTCACCAGTATAGTGGACGATTTTACGGATATACAGTATAATAGTCGTTCATCATGCAGTCGTCATATGTTTACAAGGGTATGGTAATGCAATTTAAACATGTGATATTCATGAAATTTTTCTCCAGGTAAGATAAAGTATATCGATTGGCTAATGCATTATAGAAAATTTTATAAATTATTTTAAACATATGCAATTATATATGACTTCTTGAAGTTAACCAATTGATAGTTTTTCTGAAATATTATGCCGTTCAATTAAACACTGAGGCTAACTAAATTCTTACAAGAATACAGAATTAGCTTCTTAGAATTATTTTAATCTGATTCGTTGATAGTCAGGTGGAGTACTCTTCTCTTTCTTTCACAACAACAAGGGTTTTGTGATTTAATCAATGAATTGTTCAGTATTTGATTTGTCAACCTAATCCAGAATGGCAGTCACTTGTACACCATTTACTACTGTGCTATTATTTTCTTGTTCAGGAGTAATTTGTCTCTAGTTTGGTTGACATCAGACATATATTCAACTTCCACATGCTTAAAAATCGCTCCAACGTGTACTTTTTCAAACTAAATTTTGCGCATTAGACTTTCATTCATAATATACTTGGCATTTGGAAACTTTTCCATGTCATTCGCCCACTGTAAACCTTTTTAGCTGACGCTTATCTACTTCGTACTTGTTTAATTAACGGTCTCTTTGTCATCAGATATTTTTACAAACAACCTTTTTCTAACATATATGAGATCAGGAGAAATTTGTCTCTCTCACATTTGCACTTGATTAGAATGAGCGCCACACTCTCGTCAAGCAGACACTGAGATATAGGAGTCTTGTCCGTTCGGCACTGGTTCATCTAATTTGGGTGCAGTAAGCAAATATTCATCAGAGACGTTTCTTTAATGCACTTATATATTGACCACATGCCAGCCTCGTTGGGCAGATTCACAGAGGATTCAGGTCCACATTATCCAGAACTCTTGAAGTCAATTGAGATATCGACTCCACCTTCCCAGACCGTGTCTCAGCAAAAATATTCAACTTTTTCTAAAAACACGACGGGTATAAAACAGAACTGCCCCCGTCCCGTTTACCTCGTCGCAGAAATTAACGCAAGACTCACAACACTAGGAAACAGCTCCTAGAACCACATAGGCAGACAATAATTACAATCACTCATAACCAGATACAAATGCACTTGCATCAGTCCATATTTCCGGAACATCGACTCATCGACAGACCACATTCCAATAATTGCCACATTATCTAGGGATAAGTAAAACACCATCTGTCCAGAGAATAGGGGTGTTTATACATGAAATATACGAGACAGGTAGAGGCTAAGACGTCGACCGTTAGGTCGGAGTAACTCCAACAAATGTTACATTAGGGCGTGCTTGTTGGTTACCGGGGGAATTACTATAGGCTCCCAGCCCTTTCATAGAATCACGACTTCCGCCTACTGCTGAGGCCTTGATTGCGTAATCTGTCACGTGGTGTTGTCCATGCTGACGCAGGTCTAGTACTTTTCCATCAATCTCTACCACGTCTAGTAAATAATTCGTCTCAATTATAATTAATACAATGAGACGCCTGATTGACACCGCTAACGCTGGCATTTATGGACTAACTCCGACTCACCGAGAGTGACTCTCAGGAAAGACGAGACCGAAGATCTACAGACTTCCCAACAACACTCAACAAAACCTACACTTCGAGTCTCGAGTGACTCACCACTCTCATCATTAGCATTATCACGCTCACCTTCACATCATCTCTTAAAATAACATGACAAAACACAGAAAAATAAAAATATCTAAACGCATTTATGTATAGAGTACGTAACGTTCACATTTTTTAATAGCTCTCAATCGTGTAAATAATGAATTATAACGAAATACCACTTTCCGTTCGGAAAACCTTTCAAAGCTCTCACGGATTCCTTCCACTCTTCCCTAACCCC